CTGTGTTGAGTCGCTGATCATTCAGGTGAGTCAAAGATTTTTTATCAGTGAAAATCACAAATTCAGCCAGTTGTAGATATGATCTCCAGTGTTCCACGGCAATAAGGATAGCTAAATATTCCTTTTCATATATTGACAGGCCTTGTGTCCTTGGACCCAGCGGTTTGCTGACATAGGCCAATGGATGCCCCTCTTGCAAAAGAACTGCGCCGACACCAGTCTGACATGCATCTGTTTGGATGGCAAAAGGTTTGGCAAAGTTGGGTATCCCAAGTACTGGTGCCGTACACAGCGCTTGTTTTTTTTAGCGATCGTGCCGAAGCACGTTTTTCATTAAGCAGAAAGGAATTTTGTTACAATCCTTATGGCCACGGTAATCCAAGGTTATCGAAGCCAGAAGCTACACAAGCAGAGCATAGCATGCGAGTGTGATTACACAGTCATGAATTTTGCGACAAAGAAGAGCTACTCTGGGATCAAGTCGCCGCCATCAGGGTCCTTAGGTGCTTGTAGCCAGCCAAGCACCAGGCGTGTATCTCCTCCTGAATGACCACCTGCAGCCCTGCCGGCGATGTAGTATCCCTGCCGAAAGTCCTCGCGTTTCTCTCCTTCCAAATCAACCATCCGATCATCTCCTGGATACAGACGAGGGTGGCCCTTTCCTGGACCAAGAATTCCCTCACGACATTGCGGCGTGCGTGACCGTTTAGTCCGCGCACGTTCCAGACGAAGCATGTGGGCAAAGACAACATAAAGAAACAGTTGTGCGACGGTAGAAACATGGGACGCCGGAGACTACGTCTCAACAGCGTCCAACTCAGCCATGTCAAGGCCCATGGCCATTGGGTCGAAGTCGCTGTTAAAAAGGATCTGCAGTGCTTGCTGCTTGTTGGCCGACATGTTGCCCCCACGGAACGTGGCCTTGAACTTCTGCTCGATCTCCAGGTCTGGTGCGCTGGTATCCACATGCACCCCGAGCTTCTTAAGTAGCACAATCTGTGCTTGCCTCGTCACAATCCCGGCCTCAATCAGCATCGGATCCTCATGTACCCCAAGGTGAATGGGGTTGTCTGCATCCCTGGCCTGGAAGTCAACTTCCCAAACCAATGACCGCGCGTTAGGGCTGCCAGCGCTCGTAGGCGTGCCTGACATCTGAGCACCAACAACAACAGTTGTAGACTTTTCTCGGTCTTGCTTCCGCGGCGACGCGACATCCACTATCTCGCGCACTCAGGGACCAGCACCGAAGCGACGCGTCCCGCACCTGGACCATGCCCTGCCTCGAGAGCCACGATTGGCCCTCATGCAGAAGCCCTTGCGGATGAGGGACCCACCCTGAACCACCTATGCATGCGCGTACGTCGTCCGCAACTCCGGCGGCATGGCATCGCGGCCAGAACGCCGGACCGGAGCCACGCCCCAACGACGGGCCGTCCCTCCCACCCGGGCGGAAGGTGGCCGGGCCAAACGACCGAGTACGCGACGGGCCATCCTCCAGACCAGGGTGATATCCATTGTAATTACTGTCACCGCAGTCGTTGGAGTCGTCAGTGCCCGGGAAGCCACCATCATCAGAGGAGCTTGAAGGGTCCCAATCCTGATATTCGACGACACGCATCCGAGCGAGGTAATGCAGGATGGGCAGCTCGGAGTGAATGATCTCGTGTTCCCGGAGAAACAGAATGCCCGGGTCATGCGGCTCCCGCGGTTCCGGGATGACAAGGAGCTTCGCTCCGGCACCAAGAGCGGTGAAGGCACCGGCAGCGACGAATAGTTCACGCGTCGTCGTCGCCGTCAACCCGTCAAAGATCGGGCCGTGGCGATCTCGACTGGGTGCGAAAGACCCAAGGAGGTGCGCAGCCCACATCCTCGTTGAGGGCATGGGCGAAACGCCTTAATCTCAACCAGACCTTGTAGGTGAATGCACCGCCATCGCCGATGAAAGGCGAGACCAGCGTCGCCGAGCAGCAACACGAACGGCGGTTGCCACACGGTGGTGGCTCGGAGTTGAGGACGCGCCGAGGTCATCCCGACGCGAAACAAATGATGAAGTCCTCGGGCGTGCCGCAGAACCGACATCGCGTCGTCCTCGATGTTGAATCGGTCACGGCGGTGCTCGCGCACCATAGCGGGGTCACCGGCGGCTCGGTACCGCCAACCAAGGCCACCAGAGCGAAGCGACAAAGGCGTCCTCCGCGGCTTGAATCTCCGCAGCGCGCGGACGATGACCAACTCAACCGCCGGGCGTTGAACAGTTGAAAAGGCGCGGCGGGCTGCCACGCCGGAGTTGCGACGCGGTCGCGATGACCGGCCCCCATCTGCGGCGCCTTAGGCCTCGGCGGCTGCTTGCCGCTTCGTGTGGTCGAGCCGAGGCCCCGAAGCACCGCGGCGCGGCGCCGGTGCAACGGTAGCATCATCAGCGAGGCGGGCCGATCCACGCAAATAGGGCTGGAGGCGCCACAAACAACGTGGTACTGACGGCGAAAGGCGATGGACACAGAGCGGGCCGAGACCCGTGTCATCTCGAGGCGGCCTCGGCCAGGGAACGAACAGCGCCCGAAGCGGGGGGCACGACGAGCAATGCCTAGCGAGCGGCCTCGCTTGGCCCCGGTGACAAAGGTGGCCATCGAGCAGAAGCGCGCACGATGGCCCTCTTGGCGGCAGTGTGCACGGCAGCCGCGAGAGGAAACGACGATTCGCCGGATGTGGTCATCATCACGTAGGCGCTTGAAGCAAAGACCAACCAGATCCGGCGGAACCGGCCTTGCAAGGTAGGCGATATTCGCGGCGCCAACGCCGGCGGCCGTGAACCTCACGGAAGCCGCCGTCATCATCCGGCTCACCAAAGCTCGGCCGGGTGGACCGCGACCGAAGCGCACTGCCATGGGCGGAGGAGAGGCCGTGGCGACTGGTGAGCGGAGGCATCTCGCAGCGCGGCGGCGTCGATGACGACGCCGGTGCCGTGCATCGCTTCGCGCGACGCTCCCGGATCTCCCCAACCTCGGCCGACGTTGGCGGCGAGGGGGCCGCAGAACCAAGAGAGGCCTCGAGTCGGAGAAGCGAGTCTCCCCCGATCGAACCACGAAATAGCCGGCGACGAGCCCGGGACGAAAGGCTCAGCGTTGGCGTTGAGGGGCGGCGACGAAGAGTGAGGCAGCGAGTCGGCCTCCTCGACCTCATCGGCCCAGGAACGGCGAGAGGGAGAACCGAACTCCATGGCGGCTGGGGTGGACGCTGGCACCGGAGTGGCAACCGGCGTGGGGCTGGGGAGTGGTTGGTGGCCGGCGGCGGCCGGGTTAGCGGCACGTACGACAACCCCGTGGCCGGAACTAAGGAAGGAGGGGCAGGGGGGCGGGCGGTGCGGCCAGCGGTGAGGTCGCCAGAGCTGGGGCTTTGGACGAGGCACGGCGACGGCAGCCGCAGCGGCGAAGATTAGGGTTTCAGATTTTGCAGGGCATCCATGGCCGACGGGCTTAAAAGGGGGCCTGGGGGAGGTGGCCGAACTGGCGGCTGTGGCGGGTTGAGGGCGGCGAGCGAGGCGGCAGCGGGGCACCGACGAGCGGGTGGTGGGAGATATCCGGTTGGGCGGAGTTGGTGGCGGAGGCGAGGAGTCACTAACAAGGTGCCCGTTGATTTGGGATCAGTGAAGGGTGGGAAAGGTCGAACGGCGGTGAGCGGCGGGGCAGTGAAGCCGCCGTGCTTGTTGCAAGGCTGAGAAAGCTTTTTGGTGACCAGTAGTCCACACAAAAAGTTGGTGCTTCTTTAGCAGTTGAGTTAGGGGCTTGGCGATGATAGCGAAATGACAGACAAATTTCCGATAAAAGCCTGCTAAACCCAAGAACCCGGAGCACTCTGACATTTGCTGTAGTCGGCCACTGTAACACAGCTGTGACTTTTTCAGGGCCAGTGCTAACTCCCTGAGCACTCAGAATGTGACCCAGATATTTGATTTCTTGTTGGGCAAAGTGACATTTCTTTAATTTGACAACCCACTTGTCTTTGGCCAGTAAAGACAGCACCTCATGTAAATGCTGGAGATGATCTTCATAGCTGGAGCTATATATTAAGATGTCGTCCAAGAAGACCAATGCACAGCGGCGAAGGACAGGTGCAAGTGTAGAGTTCATAGCCCCTTGGAATGTTGCTGGTGCGCCCGTTGCTCCGAAAGGTACGACTGTAAACTCGAAATGTCCGGTGTGAGTGGAGAATGCTATTTTGAACTCCTCGCCGGGCTACAGGGGAATTTGGTGATACCCCGAATGCAGATCCAGTATAGAAAACCAAGCTGCAGACCCCAACTCATCGACTAGCTGATCAAAGATGGGGATTGGGTACACGGACTTCACCGTCATGGCATTTAAATATCTATAATCGACACAGAGTCTCCACGAACCGTCTTTCTTCCGGACCAACAACACCGGAGATGAGAAAGGTGATTTACTGGGCTGAATCAATCCTTGTTTCAACATTGTGTTGACTTGACGTTCGATCTCATCTTTAAGGCTTGGTGGATAGCAGTAGGCACGGATATTCACCGGTTGTGCTCCACTTATCAGAGGGATGGAGTGGTCACACGCACGCTGCGGCGGCAGAGAATTTGGGACTGTGAACACTTGAGGAAACTTCTGCAAGACAGCTGAGATCTCTGGTGGCAACTCGGTGACCAACTCTGAGTTGTCAGTAACATCTACCGCCAACAGTTGGATAACAATATCATCATCATGAGGAGCCGTCAGACCTTGGAGAATCACGGTGTCACCATCAACTGTAAATGAAAGCCTCTTGGACTTCCAATGAACTTCCATCGGACTATACAGCTCAAGCCAGTCCATGCCCAATATGAGATCATATGATTCCAGTGGAAGAACTCGGAGATCATGCTTGAAAATGTGATCACCCAAGGAGAACTGACAGTCAACAATAAGTGAAGTGCATTGCAACAACTGACCGTTGGCCACTTTTACCGAAGCTGACATTGGCGAACGTTGGAGATGAGCTAACTAATCAGCAACTGAAGCGGCTATGAACGATGTAGAGCTTCCCGAATCCACCGACATGGCCACTGGATAGCCCTGAATAGTTCCTTGGAACTGTATGGTACGATGTCCTTGAGCACCGCGATGAGCATCATGTGATAGAGCCAAGATCAACTGTTCTGGTGGGGCTTGAGGGAACTCCTGCTCTGGTTCTGAAACTGCTTCCAGTTGAAATAGATCCCAAATTTCCTGCATAGCATGCAATGGAATAGTTGCAGCACACTTATGCCCTCGAAACCACTTCTCGGCACACATATCACATAAGCCACGACCTCGCCGGTATGTACGCAGTGCCGAGAACTTGTCTTCGGAAACTTGTGGTGTTGTAGGCTTGAGCACTGGCTTCTCGCCTGGGGCAGCCTGCTGAGGAGGCGGCCGAGGCAGAGGCATGGCCGCCCGAGGTTGCAACGTTGCCGGCGCGGGGTTCGTCATGAATATTGGGCGGGAAAGCGGCTGGACGGCTATTACCGTCCGATTGATCGGATTTTAACACGCCCCACTCTGTCGGCCTATACAGGATAGCTTCACGCGTAGGTGTGGCCTGTCGTGTCACACTGTTCAAACACAATGGTTCAAATTTCTATATTCTACTGCTACCTGCAGAGAACCATCAGAAAGGTAAATTACAAAAGAAATAGCAAGAAAAAAGGAAAAAACTTTGGGCTTTGCACTGCTGATCGGTCGATGAATTTCATATTTCAAAACAAAGGTAGCAACGAATGAACCAAGTTTATCAAAGACAAGGCAGATTTTTTACTTTAAATTCAAGAATTCTACGATTTGGAACGTGATCTAAATAAAATTTACCCTTGGAGAGGGTCGTCGTCTATCTGTCCATGAACTTCAGGCTCGGCAACTGTGTTACGATAGGCTGGCCCTGGAACTAAAGAAGAGAGCAGCGTATTGGAAGCAGCGAGGGAAATTCAAGGCAATCCGCGAAGGAGACAGAAACACTATTTTTTTCACGCACACGCGACTGCTTGTCTGCGGAGAAACACCCTCAGAAGCATCGCGGTGGATGGTGTGCAGGACACTAACCATGTTGTCAAAGTGCAAGCGCTCACTGCATGCTTCAAATCAATCATTGGAGTACCTGGAAACTCTGTATGGCACTTCAGCTGTGAAGCACTGTACCGAGAATTCTCCAAAGCAACAGAAGCACTCACGCTTGAAATCCCTAGATTGGTTTTGGATAATTGATGAAATTTAGGACTAAACTTGGATCTAAGTGTGTGAATTAGGTGAGATAGTCCAATCCAAGTGGTGAAGCTAGATGATGGTCATGGTGAAGGTGATAGCCACAAAAGAGATGATCAAGTGCTTCACATTAGAAAAGAAGAAAGAGAAAAACAAAAATAGGCTCAAGGCAAAGGTATATTGATAGGAGCCATTTTTGGTTTACACTCAAGATATCATAGAGGGTGTGAGTGATTTAGTATTGATAGCCGTACTATAAAGAGGAGAATTCTTTGGCTAAACGGTTTATCGAGTGTCACTAGGTGACAGTGTTCTTGCATATGCATTTAGGAGCCTAGTGTACTAACTTTGACCCTTGTAAAATGCTTTGAAAATACTAACACACGTGCACACAAGTTCTACATTTTATGGTTGGTAAGTTGGAAGTAAGGGCGAAGTGGTTGAGAACTTAGAAAAAGAAAAGAAGGTGAAAGTCCTCAACCGGACGCTGGCCGCGGGCTGACCGGACTCACCCCGGTGCGTCCGGTCATTTATAGGCGGCGACGCAATGACTGGTCATTTATAGGTGACCTGACGCTGGCCGTGCACTCGGTCATCGCACGCAAAAGAGAAGCAGGGTAGCCTCACGATCGGACTCTGCACAGTCGTTGTGACCGGACACGCAAGCCTTGCGTTAGGTGAGAGCTGACGTACGCTGGCATCAGCATCGCGAGCTCGTGGAGAGAAATAGTGTGTGGACCAGACACTCAAGCGCATTAGGTCATCACTGACCGGACACGTCCGATCAGTAAAAATTCTCTCTGGTGCCTTATTGGACTCGACCGGACCCTGAGGTGGTCGCGTCCGGTCATTTCTTCAGGTGTGTCCGGTGTGACTTTAACCAAGTGAGTGAGTGTTTAGTTACCGTTGAAGATGAATGGTGCTGGTTCGAAGCAGGGGACATGTGGCTGCATCCGAGCAATCGGACGCTGGTGCGGTGCGTCCGATCAACCCGACCAGCACATCTGGTCAGTGCACAGACCGCCCTCTCTTGACCCTAATGGTTCTATTCGTTTGAGGGGCTCTATAAATAGTGTTTGACCGGCTTTAGGCTCACTCTCTTAGCCAGCGGGCGTGCGTGCGTGCGTGCCCGTGCGCGTCGTGTGCATGAGCGCATGCCAAGGCGTGGCAACGGCAGTGTGGCCTACGCGACGGTGCGTGCCAGGGCAAGCCAAGGCTACGACGCCGAGCCAAACTGATGCGGTGACCGCGTCCAGATGCTGACGCCGGGCAAGAACATGCCTTGCACGCTTTTTAAAGCATCCCAAAAATGTGTCTTAGTGATCCAGTTGCTAAACCATCTATTTCACTCTCGAGATGGCATGTTAAGCTACCAAAACAAACCCTAAGAACATACCACTAATTAACCCAATTCTCCCACAAAAATTCTCAAACTTAGCCTCGTCAACCCGTTTTCTAACTTAAGAAACTTGACCACACCTTGATCGGTTTCTCGTCGAATGCGATTTCGAAGCTATTAAGTATGCTCGCTAGCGAATCCCGTTCTCGACCGCAAGTATTTTACCGCCACCTACGAAACTTGTACTGCAAACTTTATTAAAGTTTCGTACATGGGTTCTATAATATTTTCGTTCAATAAAAATTCGTTAAAACCCCTAAGTGATATAACGCGACATGAAATATAACATTCGTTTCGCATTTTCGATGAATGTTTCAAGTCACAGAAATTGATTTACACACTATAATTCATACATTATTACATAAACATGATGCACATGCAGTGTTTTAGCAAAAGATTTATAGAGGGTGTTACAGCTAGAGCATAGTTTTTGTGATGCTCTAAATTACTCTTCTTAAAAACTTATCTGTAAGCGATTATCCAGGACTTATAGTATAACTATGAGAGCTACATGGCTCTGACTTTAGTTTAGTATGAAGACCTTTTCTAGCTTATTAGTGGTTACCCAAAAGGGCGCAAAAGGGGTTTGTCGAGCTGAGTATAGTGCGGCCTCTGTCCTTATGTGTATAGCATGCGCGGAATGCGCCATTCGAAAGGGGAGCTCTATATTCCCTTGCCAATTGGAAACCTAGCGGCCCTAACTTGTTAGATGAACTTCTGAAAGACTTCATAGTGTACCCTGCCCGCTCACCTTAGAAGTGTTATGGGAGTCATGACCCCGGGCAAATGGGAATCATGACTCACGGTGAAAGTGTACAACCTCTGCAGAGTGTAAAACGGGTATATCAGCCGTGCTCACGGTCACGAGCGGCCTTGGACCCTTATGGAATAAATGATCACTAATGGTTAATTGTTTATGCTACTCATTATTCATGTTTACATGATCATATGTTTATGTGGGCTTGTGATAAACTTGTTGCTACTCAATTGCTAAAAGATGACTCAATAAAAGCTAATGCAGTTAAACCAGTGTCTACCTTTTGAGCCTCATGGACCCCATGTTATAATTGTTGAGTACGATATGTACTTACTCTTGCTTTACGTTTCAATTGCTTTGGAAAAATCACGGATGGGTACCAGATGGTGGAGCTAGTGAGTTTTATGAGAAGTGTTAGGCGTATGTACTCCCAGTCGACCGTCCCTGTGGTGTTTGGAGGCGTCACTTGAAGATTAGAATTTATGACTCCGCTACTTTGATGCAAGCTTTATCTCTATGTAAGTGATAATGTTATATTATTATTCGTTAAGTAATAAAGCATTGTCTTTTGATACTATTGTAATTTGTCGCTATATGTGTGATTTGACTTCTTAGGCACACATATGGTGTACATCTGGTTTTGTTTTTAAAACTAGGTGTGACAAGAGCGAGGAGATGCGATCGGACGTAGCGACCTGACGCTGGTCGTGTGTCCGATCATCGCGCGCAGAAGAGAAGCAGGGCGGCCTCGCGATCGGACTCTGCATAGTCGTTGTGACCGAACACGTAGGGCTTGTGTCAGGTGAGAGCTGACGTACGTTGGCGTCAGCATCACGAGCGCACGGAGAGGAACAGTGCGTGGACCGGATGCTTGGGCGTGTTAGGTCATCATTGGCCGGACACGTTCAGTCAGTAAAAATCCTATCTGGTGCCTTACTGGACTCGATCGGACCCTGAGGTGGCCGCGTCCGGTCATTTCGTTAGGCGTGTCCGGTGTGACTTTAACCGAGCGAGTGACTGTTTAGTTACCATTTGAGATGAATGGAGCTGGTTTGAAGTAGGGGACACGTGGCTGCATCCAAGCGACCAGACGCTGGCGCGGCGCGTCTGGTCAGTGTGCAGAGTGCCCTTTCTTGACCCTAACAGCTCTATTTGTTTGAGGGGCTCTATAAATAGTGTTTGGCCGGTTTGGGTATCACTCTCTTGGTACTTTGACATACTTGACATCCTTGTGAGCCCAAACAAACACCTCCCACTCATCTCCATCATTGATTCATCATCATAGTGAGATTGAGAGTGATTCCAAGTGCATTTGCTTGAGTGATTGCATCTAGTGGTACTTGAGGATCGTTGTGGCTGCGGATTTCTTGTTTCTCTTGGTGGTTGCTGCCACCTAGATGGCTTGAGGAAGCGGAGGAGCTTCGGCATGTGTTGGTGATTGTTTGTGGCCGGCTCCGGTGATTATGAGGGGTCTTGCACCTTCCCCGACGAAGAGCCACAAGGTAGCTCTAGTAAATTGCTCGTGTCATTGAGTTACCTCACTTGAGGCTAGGTTTGTGCGGTGTGCAATTGTGTGGACAAGGTTCGTGCAACACTTCTTAGCTGCCGAACCACCAAGTGTTGGTCGACACAACCGGGACTAACGTGTCGGCAAGCAAGTGAACCTCGGAAGAAAAAAATCTTATGTCTCTTGTGTGATTGGATTTCTCCCGGTGATTGGATTGACTACATTGTGATTGGTTCAATTCCTCGATACGGTGGTATAATCACCCTACTCACTCCTTTACATTCTTGTAAACTAGTTGCTAAGCTCTTTAGTGTAGATAGTCTTTGAGAATTTGTTAGTTTGGTTAGTGTGACTCTTTAGTTAGTCTTTGAGAGCACACTAGCTTAGTGAGTAGTGACTTAGCTTTTGTGTGTGATAGTGATCATAGCAACTAGAACTATTTGGATAGGTGGCTTACAACCCTTATAGAGTTAGAGCAAAATTGCATTACGTCGTTTATCATACTAATCATTTGCTCTAGTGCCTTGTAG